TAAAAAATCTTTTGCTCAAAAATATTTTACTTTGTAGTTAATTTTACTATAATAATGACTCCTATATAATATTTTTAGTATTGTCTTTACTGGTAATGTTACATCGTCTATACGCAATATCCCCCTACTGAACTTCTGACCTACTAACTTTCCGACCTTTGGCAATATCGAACCTATGCCAGCTGTTTATTTCTGTATTATTTAGGGGTTAGATTAGGTTAAGACAATGTCTGGGCCGAGCGCTGCGGCTAGGACAGACTAGGGGCCTTGACGCTGCGGCCACTAGTCCAAATAGCAACTATAAAATCATGTGCTAATAGGTCGGATGTGTATGTATAGCGGATTTGGCGTAGGTCAGAAGTGGAGTTTAGCGGATTTTCGAAAAATACACCACCCTTTTGGTATTAAACAACTAAACAAATTATGGAAGAAGACATTCTAAACTATTTACTAATTGTCATGTTTCGTGGGACACCCTGTATGTAAAGTCGCCTGATTAAAGGGACTGTAAAGGAAAATTGAAAGGGGGTATAGGATGAAATCTAAGTTACTTAGGGGTTTATCGAAACCCTCGAGAGTTCTATCTGATATTTCTGTCTCGAGAAATTGATAAAAAAAACTGTGTTAAATTTATACAAAAATCGGTATGTACCATTTTTGCATAAAAATAGTAGGTTTAAACATATCATATTTATCAAAAACGCAACCAATTTGAAAACGACAATATCACAGAGAAGCCTGAGTAACTTAGGTTTGCTCCTATTAATATTTGAATTTTTATTTTCATTTTTAATAGATTTAGTTGATAATTAATAAACATAATTATACGTATAATTATTTGAAGACGTCCGTATCACTTGAATAGAAATACATTTAATTGTAGTGCAGTATTATTGTCACATGTCCTTCGTATGTATCACATGACCTGTAAAGAATAAATGAGTTTTTGCCACAAACTCTGATTTTTAAATCCCTTTTTCTCTACAACTCGAGATAGTAGACCTCAGATATGTCAAATTATGAATTCTGTTAGATTAAATAATAATAAGTTTGAAATATCAAAAATTATATAGGGATTATATAATATCACAAAGATATAGGGATTAGAAATTTTGAGTTTCTGACAAAAAATAAATTGCTTTCTTGATTTCTCAATCAATCAAAAAAGACATCTCACATTTTTAAAATCCAGAAATTAGTGGGATATGCTAGTTCTTATTGATAAAAGTATGCTTTTTGAATCATAATATGCCATGAATGCCATGTAAAGGGAAAACCATTTAAAGGTTAATACTAAACTCTCATATTCTTTAACCCTATCCCTGCTGGGGTACTTGAAAACCAGGATACGCTGGGGGAGGTGTCAATTTGACCCCCCCCCTCTCTAAATCCCATGTTTTATGTCCAAATATGACAAATGATACATCATTAGAAAGCTCTTGTGCTCTACTTTTAGAATCTCAAAAAAATTTGCAAATTTGCGAAAATTGAATTTTTTATTGCAAAATCCAGTTTTATAGTAAAAATGTTTGCAAAAAAAAATTTGTCCAAAAAATGACAAATTATACATTTTTGAAAAGCCCTTGACCATGCCATTTCAAATATGCAAAAATATTTGCAAAATTTTAAATAACCTGATTTTTAATCAAGAAAAACTTAAAATGTGCAAATTTCCTTTGACAGGTTGTTTGCAAAAAATTTGCAATTTTTTTTCGCAAAACTTGTGCAATCCGTTTCCTTATGTCATAGGCTTTCCAAAAAGCTAAATTTTATCAAAATCTGACAAGTGAAAGTGGGCCAAAACAAAGATTTAGTTTGTTACAGGCAAAAGCAGTCATTCAGGCAGTGTGCCTGAGGACTCAGGCAGTTAGTATTAAAGCCCGGTTTTAGGCCTAAAGGGAGGGCTTTGGGTATGTAAGAAAAGTCAGAAAATTTCAACAGCCTCAGACCAATACTTTTTGAGTTATGTAAAAAAAACTACAGGGGGGGGTCAAATTGACCCCCCCCCGCAGGAATAGGGTTAAAAGGACAATTTGTCAATGATGTACAATATTCATCAAACCTAGCTTGCACTGTCAACTAAAAGCTGGGGCCTGACTAGATATGACTTTAAATATCGTCGTTACTTGAACTTTTGTGTTACGTAGATTATAAATAGAAAGCACAATGCACTGATGATATAACAGGAGGGTGTGAGGTTGTTTTAAGTGCACAGATATTTTTCAAGTGACAATTTCCCAAGTGGCAATTTCCCAAGTGACAATTTCCCAAGTGGCAACTTCCGAAACGTGGTTTATCGGCAACTTCTAAAAGGTTAGGTTAGGCCTGTTGATTCAATGCAGGCTGCAGTGGGGGCTGGGTGCTGCGACTAGGATGGGCTATGGGGGCTGGGTGCTGCGACTAGGATGGGCTAGGGGGGCTGGGTGCTGCGACTAGGATGGGCTAGGGGGGGCTGGGTGATGAGGCTTTAAAAATGCTAAGGGCCTTGCGCTGCGGCTAGGACAGACTTGGGAAATTCCCCAGTTGGGCAGTTGCCACCAAGGTAGTTGCCACTTGGGAAAATACCCTTTGGAAATTGCCGCTTGGGAAAGTACCAAACATCGTTTTAAGTGGGTAACCATATTAATTTTAGTGTAATAAAGAATGAATAGTGTCGTTTTCATCTTTTTAATTAAAAAAATAGTATTGCTCAATTTCATGAGTATAATATCAAGATACTCTCAAAGAAGAGATGGAAATGTCCGATTTACAACAGTATCCTTTGAACCTTATATTGATTATCAACTATTATGTGCGTTAGCGTACAATGTGAAATCAACGCATCTGACGTTACATTTATCTCAAAAATACCAAATATTCTATTTCCAAATCGTTAATAATGTAAATATTTATATTCTGCAACTTCCAGAAAGTAAATTTTAGTGTATTTAAGATATAAAACAGCTTGCAAAGCACCGTTGAATAATTACAAGCACTATTTTAGAGTCTATGAGGTTCAATGGATACTGTTGTGAATAGGACTTATAGCTATTTGCTAAATGTAGGGCTTTCAAGGGTTTTTTATCCCGGACAATAAGTAACTGATCAACGCTCTCCCCCTCCCCCACGAAGAATAAAAAAATCCAGCCAACATTGTCTCATTCCTATAAGTGGAACTTAAACCTCTCTTATTTTCAAGCATATATCAAATATCGTCTTCAACTAAAATGGGATTAACTCGTAGTGGATTATTGAGTTTATCGGTAATTTCCTAGTATACGATTTTTGGACCCCCCCTCCTATCAATTTTGTACATGGGTGTGACAGGATGTTTCTTAACTTAACCTAACCCGTGGCCGCAGCGCTCGGCCCCCTAGCCCATCCTAGCCGCAGCGCTCGGCCCAGAAAGTATCTTAACCTAACCTTATAAATACATAAATAATAAATAAATAATAATAAATTTGCTGAAAAATAAATGGTCATGTACAAAATTGATAGGAGGGGGGGGGGGGGCCAAAAATCGTATACTAGGACAGACCCAGTTTATCAATTAGGAATAATTAAATTGATAATTTTTAAGCAAAAAAGAAACAACAAAAAGTACTTTGTTACACAATTTTCTGCAGCCTAATATCAGTTGGAGTCAAAATTTGTGTACAGCTTTGCACAGAAGGATCGACAGGAGGACGGTAACCCCCTCAGCCCCTTTCATGATCATACTACCATAGTTTCAGTAGAAGTACATATTTCAGTTTCCTGATAGCGCTGCACTGATTGAAGGATTCATAACTGTGATTGGATAATGAGAATGATAGAAAGATAGATGTTTCCGCCATACTATTTCTATTGGTTTAGAATAGACAAGAAACACATTGCTGAACCCTGATTGGATCAGGCGCTAATGAACTCGGCATACAGTAGTAGTAAATATTTCCATTTACTGCTGATTTAAGGATTCATCTTTAATTGGATGATGAGACTTTTAGACGCAAGTTGTCCAGTTGAGCATTGAAATAAACAATTGTTTTGTGTAAAAAGGCCCATTTCACTTAATTTGTATGAATGTAATTGTCTTTTAAAACTATTTCCTTTGTAATAACATCCAGTAACGCCATGAAGTCGTCTTCCCATTCCAGATTTTTCTGGTTATCACTGTACGAATTGTTTATTATTCTCAAATTATAAATTTTAACCTAAGTTGGTTGAAATTCAAAATGCAGAGACTGGAATTTGTAACGTGAGAAAACCGAAAACCTTTTATTAAAATGGATGTTATTAAAACAAAAATCACAGTTTTAATTTCAGAATAGAAGCACATAAGCACGGTTTTAAACTTGTGTCTCCTGCATATTTAAAAAATAAGAAAACTCTTTTTTGATTTTTAAGTTGATTATGGTTTTGCATCCATGTTAAAGGGGCTGTAGGATTAATATTTTAAGAGTACCTCCAATAAATAAGGACTTTCAGGATTCACAAAGGTACCCTTGAAACTGTTATCAATAGTGCGGACAAAAGTTTTCTTAACTTAAAAAGTATTTGATGCTACTTATTTCTCCATGGTTTTCCTGCGCAAGTCACTTTTATAGTTTTAAAAATGATACACTTGGATATTAGGCCTGCAAGCTCTAATTAGGGTACCATCGTAAATCAAGCATTGGCATCTTTGGAGGGTCACTAACCTTACAGTCCCTTTAATACAACTACATCATCAATCATGTTAAGGTAAGTATTTCTAATTTTCTCTTTTTTGTTATTAAGTATTAACAATTTATTATGCAGATATCTTGAAGTTTACAAGACCCCCCCCCCTTCCCTGCACACAAACACCGCCTGTTCTACTCCAGCATGTAGTATACAGTGTAAAGTATACACCTGTTTTTCAATTATCATGACGTCATAGCTCTGAAGAGCAAGGAGGAAATCCAACCAATGAGAGTCAAGGATTCCACGTAAGGTGAAAATTGGACCAATAACAGTGATGGGAAATGATGTGGAAGCCAAGTATAGGCAAACTGCCTGAGAAGTTAGAACACACGGAGCTTGTAGTCGCTAGAAGGATATGAAGCTGTGAACCCCCTGCCGCCATTTTATTTCAAGGTGCTCCAGGTAAACAGTGTACATAGTGTACAATGTATGTACATGCAGTACATACAATAGTTTCGTGGATTCAGTGAATTATCTTAGAATCAGTGATCCCAATTTTGAATAATAATTAAAATAGAAATAATAATAAAGAAATAATAATTATAATAATAATAATAATAATAATAATAATAATAATAATAATAATAATAATTAATAATTATAATAATAATTATTAGATTCATAAGTGAATATTACTTTTTTTTAATATGCAAATAAGTTACTTTTGCATGTCGTCTTTTCTAAAGTTTTTGCAAAAGATGTTTATGGCTCATCTGCGCATATCAAAACGTCAAATATTTTAAATGGGGCAAATCGATAAAATCAAGGAAATGCAACTTGGGAAATGTCATCGAAAATAAAAACATTTTATACAGACAGTGTCTTTCTAATTTTTTGTCTTTTTTAAATATTCCGCATCTGTAAAATGTTTTTTTTATTTTTTGGACATTTTTTTTTTGCATACATTTTTACTATATAACGAAATTTTGTAAAAAATGTTCAATTTTTGCAAATTTGCAAATTTGTCTGCAGATTTTTAAAGTAGAGCATAAGAGCTTTCCAGTGACGTATCATTTGTCATATTTTGACATCAAACATGAGATTTCGAGGGGGGGGCAAATTGACCCCCCCCCAACATATCCTGGTTTTCAAGTACCCCAGCAGAGATAGGGNCAGCAGGGATGGAGTTGATAATAAATCCAACTAAATCCCTGAACCAATTATAATCCCAACTAAATCACTGAACTTATAATAAACCCACCATAATCCCTGAACAAATCCAACTAAACCCCTAAATTATTAATTATCAAAACTAATTGATTTCTAACAACCCCTTGAAAATCCCTGAATCAATCCCGTTATAATCCCTATTTGCAGTAGATATTTATGGTTCTCATGTAGTATACCCATATATGGAACATATTAGAATATTCGGTAGAATATATTCTAATACTACATCTGGTTATACTATTCAATATAAGCAGGCCTTATTTTCATGAAAATATCTCATTCTTTTTATTCAATCATTTTTAATTATACTTCAGAAAAAGTATGGTTTGAATAAGTATTTTTTATTTAAATCGCGCTTCATCCTTAACTTTTATAACTTTATAATATTTTCATTCGCAATTCTCGTATTCTACTATTTATCCTTCTATGTGAATGTTGCGTCCAAGCTCAAATCAAACTAAAAAGTATGTCGACATCTTTTTAAATCGATCGATAACTTCTTATTTTAAAAAAAGACCTATTAAAAATAAATGAATTGGCTTTACTTTTTACTTTTTACTTTTTTCAAAATAAACTTTTTTTCTCATCGAATGTTGTCGAAGGCTTGGTGGAATTTTTACAACTATTTTCAACTGTTTTTAGTGCTTTGTTTATCACAAGCTGAGACCTCGGCTTATTTTAGAATTAAACTGCAACAAAAATCATGAGAAAATTAGGCTCAAGCTCAAAAATCTCAAAAAGCTTTTAATCTTGTCCAAAAAATATTTTATCAGATCTGAGGCGTTGCAGATATTAACCTTTGTTTTTTTACGCACCCTGTAGATTCGTTTAATTTTTGTGCACTAAATTTATCATTTACATCATGGTGAAATAATTTTTATCTTTTTTTTCAATACACATCTTTTGTTCTTAAATCTTTTTTTTTAATAATTTGCGGTTTTGTGTTATCAATCTCAATCTGGCATTAACCAATATATCAGTATGGAGTACGTTGCAATTATCTTCAGTCTTAATTAAATCATTAAACACGTAAGTGAACCCTATTTATACTTTCTTCTTCTCTACCAAAAATATTCCATCCAATTTTTGGATTTTGTACAGTTTTGTTTCGAATATGTTGTTTAGTTTAATGATGGCAGTTTGCCAGTTATACATAGAATAAAGCACGTGAGTTTTGTACAGAGGGGACTTCTAGCTTGGAAGGGAGGGGGAGGGATCAGGGTAGGGGGGGGGATTTGGTGGAGGGAGGGGAGGGTTAGATTAAGGAATGGGGGGGAGGGATATTATGAGTAAAAAGAAGTGTTTAAAGAGAATTCTTGTGTAGCTATGCTGGGTATATACACAGGTTTGTGTAAAGGTTAGGTATGCTCATTAACTTTTTTCTGTATGGAGTTCAAACAATTAGGAAAAATATTACAAAAGAATGATTTCATTCTTAATATCAATATTTTGATCAGAAAAATAAAAAAGCATTTAAAATAAAAAGATATATTTCTAGAATGAATGGGCGTGGTTCTAAGGTCTCCTTGAACTGTTCTCTGGCCCCGCCTCCCACCACCACTACAGCAGACGGTGGACACACCCCAAATACTCCTGAAATTCTAAATACAATTGTAAATATAACCTCTGGATTCAGCAATGGTCCTAGGTTCTCTTCTAGACCTCTCCAAGGTCCTAATCCCATAGCATTACTCTCTTCATACAATCCAAGACGAGGAACCTCCGGCCTTCCGGTAACCTCCTCGCATACTCCATCCGTAGTGGTTATTCCTCCTTCTCCATCTTCCTCACAACCTAACTCAAGTCTTCATTCAACATACTCCATTCCACAGCCAGACTTCCAACCATTACTTCAGAATGAAGTTCAAACCTTCGAAGGAAACCCTTCTTCACTTACTCCACTTCTCCCCCTCCTGGAACCTCTTACACCAAATCTTCTTCAACAATCTCACCATCTCTCTTCACCAAACCAACTTACAGAGGAATGTCTTCCTTCTCCTCATCTTGCAATACCTTCTCAGCCCTCTCCACACTTTTCAGCAGCTCTCCTTCCTTCTCCCCATCTTCCAATACCCTCTCAACCCTCTTCACAGCTACTAACACCTCTCCATACTTCTCCCAATCTTCCAATACCCTCTAAACCCTCTTCACACCTTTCCATACCTTCTCAGCCCTCTTCACACCCACCAGCCCCTCTCCTTCCCTCTTCACATCTGCTCTCTCCTACGTACTCTGACAGCTCAGAGAGAAGTTTTATAAGATCTCCATCTCCTCTTCATTATAAAAATATAGGGGAGTACAAACCTGAATACAAGACCATTGGGGAGTACAAACCCGAGTACAAGAACATCGGGGAGTACAAGCCTGAGTACAAAAATATTGGGGAGTACAAACCTGAATACAAGACCATTGGGGAGTACAAACAGATCTCGGAGTACTCAGAATACTCAAGTGCAGAATACACTCCTCAATACACAGGTAATACGCTTTATTATTTATTTATTTTCTCGAACGTCCATAATTTAAATATCTGGTACAATTAAACAGACAAAAAAATTATAAGAGTAAATATCAAAATAAATGCAAAGACAAGAAACAAAATCATACTATAATTAGGTCGCGCATATAAAATTGATAATGTCGATAAGCTCAGCTTGGTCAATTCCATCAATAACAATCTTGGAATCCTCCATTCTTCTTGTATGGGTACTTCTTGAAATGTCATACAATTTTTTACAATATGTTATAGTTGTATTTGTCTGCAATATTTCTCAGTTTTTTTTTGCAGTTACCGACCTTTGATCAATTAAAAAAGATTTATTAAAAGTCTGATATATATTTTTGACAAGTTTTCTAATGAAGAAACGAATTTATTATTGTGTCGGGATGTCAGACATTATTTGAAGTCCTGACATGCAATACAATATAGCTCATGCTTTGACATCAAGGGGTGGAGCTCCAGATTTAGTTCAACTTGAGATTATGTTGGCTTAATATACTGGACTTTATGAGACTTGTCGAAGACCTACATTAAGTCCAATGGTGTGACTTGTTTTAACCTTTGCCATAGATCACTCTTATGAAGTCTACCGGGTCACAAAATTTGATGAGCTCCGTCAGTTGTGGTTGTAAAACTATCTTTCATGGCATCTAATAGAAGTTCTATGTAATAGAAGTTCTCATTAACTTAATTTAGGTATGCCACCTCTTACTACTGTATGTACCACTGAGTCTCGGTGTCCACGGCAGTCCCAGACCAGACCGGTTCAGCAATATCGTAATACAGAGGTCGGTACAGTACAGCAGTACCAATCTAGTGAAGTTGGTACAGTGCAGCAATACCACTCCTTCTTTATAAAAGAGGGATTGAGGATGAAGGTTAAACAAAATTTGAAGGATGAGGATAATGGTCAAGATGTTCTTGAAACAGAACTCAAGACGGAGAATGATGAGGTTAGTCCTATTATGTGTACTTTACAAATTAACACAGACTGCTCATAAGCTCTAACTGGATAGAAGCAGGCCTTTAGTGTCCCAACATGCCATGCCACACACACACATGAGTACAGTCAAGGAAAGTGCAGAGCAATGTCGTCAATTATTTAAGCTTGAATAACGAGTAGTTTATTGTAAACTTTAATCAAAATATATCCTTTCCATTAACATTTGGCTTATAGTGTTGAATTAAATATACAATAATATATTACATTTATATTATTCTTATTTTTAAGTAAACAATTAACAATAAACAAATGTACTTTCCTAGACTGTACAAATACCGAGATTCTCCTGTACTGTAGACACCGACAGTACATTTATTCGGTTCCTTATTACACACACACTCTTTTGGTACAGACACACATATATGACGTTTCTGCCCCCTGGGGTTAAGCCTTAAACTAAGACCTGGCCAAAACCAAGGTTATAGTGCAAGGAAAGTTAATTACAGTTGTGCATACTCTGCGTACATATTGAAACCAGTTCGCTCTGGGCGGAAGTTGTAAACAAAAATAGAGGTATCAGTGTTTGTTTAGTATCCTTGAAGGAAAAAAGCATTTAATTTTGATAATTTTGATAATTTACATAATAGTTTTCTTTGATCAGAATATTTCATTGATTTTTATGTGTAAGATGAATCCCATGTCCTTCGTCTTGTGTTTACATTACCGCCCAGAGACAGCACACTGCAGTACAAAAGATGCGTACACCTCTTAAATAACTTTCCTTGCATTACAACCTTGGCCGAAACCAAATTAGCGTTAAAGTACAGGGTGTCCCAAAAAACATGATAATTCAGTGACGAATTCGATATCGTCTTTGTTATGAATTAGCATTGTAATACCTAATTTCAAAACCCATAATATTATTATGTCTGCTAGAGTTTATTTTATGAAAAGGGTAAAAGACTGTAAAGATGTGTCTATAATGTCTCCGCAAGATGAACAGTGAAGATGGACAAGTTTACTCTGTTTGCATACTATAATTTTCTTGTTTTAATAAGTACATGACAGTGTGCAGTCAAAATATAAACAAACAAAATGTGAACATAGCAGACAAAAACTTTTACAGATTACAGCTTTCTCAGTAGGTATCACTATATTAAATCAAAGAATTATTTAAAAAGACGATATCGAATTCGTCACTGAATTCCCATGTTTATTGGGACACCCTGTACATTGCACCCAAATCAATTTGACTCTGCAAAAAACGTGTTTTATTGGAGCTTATATTACAAACAAAAAACGTTTCCTTCCTCTTTGGTAAGAATTTATTTTTAACCCTAAGCAAGACAGGCGGAGGCGCTATTTTACCCCCCGACTCTCCAGGAACTGACTCAACCCTAAACCATTCATGCTGCACCGCTTTCGAAAGAAATATGTATTATTAATGATTCAAAGCTAGTTCTAAGAAATTCGATTCTCGAAGTGTAAATCAGTTCCAAAGCACGACAAATTCAGGGGAAAACAGTTCAGAAAATCAATTACAGGGGAAAACAGCTCAAAAATTCAATTTCAGGGGAAAACAGTTCAAAAATTCAATTTCAGGGGAAAACAGTTCAGAAATTTAAGTTCAGGGGAAAACAATTCAAGAATTCAAGTTCAGGGGAAAACGTTTCCCAAATAAGATTTCAAGGGAAACAGTTCAAAAATTCAATTACAGGGGAAAACAGTACAGAAGTTCAAGTACAGGGGAAAACAGTACAGAAGTTCAAGTACAGGGGAAAACAGTTCAAAAACTCAAGTTTGATTGGAAAACAGTTTCAAAATAATATTTTAAGGAAAACAGTTCAGAAATTCAATTTCAGGGGAAAACAGTTCAGAAATTTAAGTTCAGGGGAAAACAGTTCAGAAATTTAAGTTCAGTGAAAAACAGTTCAGAAATTTAAGTTCAGAGAAAAACAGTTCAGAAATTTAAGTTCAGGGGAAAACAGTTCAGAAATTTAAGTTCAGTGGAAAACAGTTCAGAAATTTAAGTTCAGAGGAAAACAGTTCAGAAATTTAAGTTCAGGGGAAAACAGTTCAGAAATTTAAGTTCAGGGGAAAACAGTGAAGAAATTTAAGTTCAGTGGAAAACAGTTCAAGAATTTACGTTCAGGGGAAAACAGTTCAGAAAGAAATTGTGTCTTTATCACAAAGTCTGATTTTCTATCCTTGGAGCCCAATTTCGTTGACCTTAGGTATAAGTTCTGTTAACTATAAGTTCTGTTAGATCAAATAATCTAAGTTTGAAAGATATTTAGATTAGAAAATTAGAGTTTGTGGCGAAGACTTAATTTCTTTAAGTTCAGGGGAAAACAGTTCATAAAATTAAGTTCAGGGGAAAAAGTTCCAAAGTTTATAGGAAAATAGTTTCAAAAACTTAAGTTTATGAAAAATAGTTCCAATTAAAAATGCATTGAAAAAATATAATTATTTACAAAATCGTTAAAAAAATGAAAATATTTGCAAATATACTTTTACCACCTTATAACCGAACCAGCTGGAACACCTGGTGTTGCCCAGGTTTATATTATTATTCATAGCAAAAGTTATTTCCGCCGTTTACCCGCGCTTGTCATTAAATCATGATTTTAGCTGAAGTGCCAAACGTTGCCCGTGGAATTTTTAAATCTTTTTTACCAGTGGGTTACCCACCGGTTTCATTAAAAAATGCCAGTCAATTGGTCCAGCTGTTTGGCCAGCTAAAGCTAACAATATATGAAAGCTTTATATAGACTACATTTTTTGTGTTCAAATGGCAAAAGAATATTAACAACACCCACATAAAAAAAGATAAAAAAGAACAGAGCAAGGACCTTAATAATACTTTAATTAAACGATTCAAAGACTTTGGTTTAAAATATTTCTTAAAGTTATAAAATTGACATTTTCTGAAAGAGTAACTAATGCTGTAGTTTATTTGGAAGACTGTTAATTTCGTTCATGTAACCTAATGCATTTTGCAGCATTCATATTCTAAAAAAACTGATTTTTAATTATGTATTATTTTAAAAGTGTTATTTCTAGGAACTTACTCCAGAAGACGAAGAAAGGCGAGTACGGCGTAGAGAGAGAAATAAGGTGATACTTACAAAAGTTTCCTAACAAATAAATTTTGCAAAATCTTGATTTTTCATTTCTGGATAAAAATTAAACTTGAGATTTTGAAATGTTTACAGTTCTCTAGTAAAAAAAGAGCAATATGTTGTAATCAAATATGAAAAATCTTGTTCAAATATTATGATTATTTTTTGTTTTGCAATTTGACCAGAACTTAATGTACAGTAGAAGCAAAATTGGGTAGAAAAAAAAATAGTTTTGAAATTTGTTTTCTTTACTCAAATCTAGCTAGTTGCTATATTTATTTTCTTTACTCAAATCTACCTAGTTGCTATATTTATTTTCTTTACTCAAATCTAATTGTACAATTTTGGTAGAGTTTGGTAAATTAAGGTCTGGGGATTCGATTGCTATTTCTTATTTTTTCATCCTCATATCATTCCAACCTGATTTGGTAGTCATTTGATGTCAACGTTTAAAATACAGTGATAACCAGAAAACTCTGAAATAGGAAGACGGCTTTATAGCAATACTTAAGCGTATTTGATTATGTTACAAAGCAAATAGTTTTACTAGACACTTATTAAATCAAAAATTAAGTGAAATGGGTCTATTTACACTTCACAATTACCGTATCCGCCTGCATATTGGACTATTTTAATTCATAAATTGAGTCTAAAATTCGTCTTTCTATTCCAGAATTTTCTGGTTATTACTTTATGGGATAAGAAAATAAATTATGTTTTGAGTCGAGTAATTAGATCCTGGGATTTAGGTGAATTTTTATTAACTTCATTAAAAAAATTTTCCTCTCTTTTTAGAATTTAAATTAGAATTCTGAAATAGATTTAAACAATAGCAATAGTCATATTTATATCTTGAAATTTTAGTTTTTAATCAAGTTTTATTTTAGCTTTAATTGTTTTCTTTTACTACTTGAAGCCAAATGCAGTTAATTGTGCATTTCTAAGCCAAAAAACAAAATAACATTTTTAAGATATAAAAGAATAAAGGATTTTGATCTTATTTTAGCTTGAGATAAATAAAAATGTTTATCTTTTCAGAAACGTTTTGTATAATTTCCAAAGGCAAAAATATACAGAAATACAGAATAATTAGCAAGAGGGACGTGAAAGGCATGGAATTCTGATTAAAAAATTTTTAAGTAATTAATTTTTTATCATAACCACGTAGTTTTTTACTGAAATTTAAAACTCTAAGAATATTTTGTCCAAATATGACTTTGTCATGTTTTGCTTAAAAATATTATGTGAAAAAAAAGAAGTTCTATAATGACAAACCATAAATGGTGTTCACTGTCTCACTCCTTTTAAAACATCTGTAAATTTTACTGCTGACCTTCATAGAGAGGGTTGAACATATTTTGAAACTAGTGTTATCCATTAAACAAGAGGACCCATAAAGGGCATGAGACTTTCATTGATAATTTGAAGCTCTTTAAAAGAACGTAATTTCAATTAACCCTTCAAATTCAGACTCATGGTTCCCCTTAATTTCAATTTTTTTTCCTGAAAATGTTTTTTAATTTTTTTCCTAAAAATGTTTCTCTTTATAGAAGTAAATTGCAGAATTACGCTTCTGTGATAATACAGGGAATTGTTAAATATAATACAATCTACAATCTTAACAAATATAGGGATGAGAAAATAATAAAAAAAAATGTAAAAAGTCGTCTTTATAGTTTTATTCTTTATGAGTAGCCCTGCAAAATATTAGCAAAGGAGATAAAAACTCAATAAATATGGACAAAAGTGCAATTCACAACCCACTACATATTCAAACTTATAATTTTTTATTTCTTTTGCCTATACACGTACGCTTCTACATATAGTGCCTCATTTGATTGTGTCACTTTTAAATCTGCTCGTTCTTAGGAAGAAACTGGTATAAGCCATAATTGTTACTGTATTTTTATCATCTATCTTCAATTTTTTCCCCCCTTGGCCAGTATTTATTAATAGGCTACAACGAAGTAAACATTCATCTCTATCAGAAGGTTTTCAGTCATATTTTGATCTCTTGAAATCTGTCGTAAATAATTTTCATATGTTTTGTTTCAAATGCAAAGCTCAACAAAAAAATATAAAATAGCAAATACGAAAAATCTGAATGAGTAAAATGGGTTCTAAAGCTAAGGCTCACTGACTTTTACCCAAGACCTCTAATTTACCGTAGAAATGGGATTAAAATTTGTATTCTAAACTTGGGAAACTTTACAGGGTGTAATTTCACCGAAACAAGTACAATATGTGCGTAAATGCCGCCCAATACGACTCTTGACAATTACGTGAGTTAAAACTGTGACATGTTTATAGAGACTTTCTCCACACAAAGTAATTCCGCAATATTTTAGGAGATTTCAAGATTAGAGTCAGAGAAGAGACATCTAGTGGAGATATTAGCACTTCACGAACCTACCTGTGCGAAGCGTCCTAGACGAGACCTGCCCAGTAGGGACGAAACCAGAAAACCAAAGGACGAAACTAACTCTCATACATCGTCAGTCCCCGGGTTTAGTCGTCAAGAGAGTTTATTACAAACCCTGGAAATCCTTGAAAACCTAGAGTTTACTCAGACAAAAGACGAAAAGGACGAACCCGAGGATTTCCATGACGAAACCACGGACAGCTCAGAGGACGGTTACTCTAAACCCCTGAGTTCTAAGGACGAATCAAGAAGAAAAAATGACGAGTTTAAATCCTACAGTTACCCCAGCTCGACCCAATCCAGCTATTTTGTTGCGAACAAACCTACAAGTCTTTCATACCAGCATTCTTTCAGCATAGACAGTCGGTGCATAGCTCTCTAAACAAGTGAAAACAAGTGCCATCTATTATATGTAATTAGAAATCGTCTTCGTCTTCCATTTACAATCAAAGTCATCTCGCCTTGTCATGAGAAACTTCAATATAAGGACTGTATAGACGTAATTCCAAGCTGAACCTTTCATTTATAGATTGGAGTCTCCGATTCAAATGCAGGGTGTCCCGCTAAACATAAGTTGAATTGGAGTCTCCGATTCAAATACAGGGTGTCCCGCTAAACATTTTAAATTATATCTACATTCCCTGTAATCGATTCTTTTCTCTATGTTCAAATGTGAATTCAATGTTTACTCCAGTTTTTTTTTACTTTCCTCTGAGTTTCTGATTTTTGATTTTTTGTAACTCCATTTTCCATCAAAGTCTTCCTTCTTATTCGGAAGTCTAACAAGTGCATTTTTTTACTTTTCTGTTTCTTATTTCTTTTTCTTAAAATTCTGTCTATAATTTTCTTCCGGTTTTTTTCTTTTCCTATTCTAAGAATCCGATGCTATCTAGTAAAGTTGTGATATACAAAGAATTAGATAATATTTCCTCAGTAAATCATTGTTATGAAAAGAAGTGGGAGAAAACTCCAAATATTTCGTAGGAGTAGAATTTAATTTATTCTTATACAAAATTTTTGAGAACTTTAACTTAGTAACCTAAACAAATTGACTCAATGTTCACCGAGTTCACCCCCCCCCTATCACCTCTGAAGAAAGATTGTTTTATTAAGTAAATTTTTGTGTAAAATTATTTTTAAAAAATCAAAAAAGCCTTCAATTCTTCCAAACACTTAAAAATGAAAATTTTCTAAAAATAAATCTACATTTTTTACTGTGTAAACAATGAATGTAGTAATTCAACTTCAGACTTCTATAATTTATTTATTGTTATTAAAATGTGCCATATAATTGGAGAAAAGCATCGTTTTTTTGGTTTGTTTTAAAACATTAAAAATGTTTTATTTTTTAGAGGCTCCATAAGAATATTTATTATTTTATAAAATTTCAATTTTACATGTGCGCTGAACATTTCTAAAACTGTGCGCTGAACATTTCTAAAGCAAGTTCGCTGAACATTTCTAAAACATGTGCGCTGAACATTTCTAAAACATGTGCGCTGAACATTTCTAAACATTGATCAGATAAGAATTACAAAATCCTAAAAAACAATTCTTTAATAAAGGAAAGCACGAAGACAATTGATTACATTGATTTTGTACTAGTACTAAAGGTATCTACCTAATTACACACAAAGATGAGACTGTAAAGATGCCCTCAAATTATTTGGTTATGGCGATTTGAAAGTTGAAATGCATTGTATAGAGAATTTTTCAAAGATAGGCAAACGTTTTTAATTTCTACAAAGAGCCATGATCAACTTACAAAAAAACTGGATACATTCAATACAGTCGTCTCTGAATTCTAGCTGGGAAACTCAGCTTTGCCCGTAAGTCTTAAAAAGACGATCTTTTCAATTCAAAATGTTGATTCCCCCAGCGGGGGTGCCTGCAGTTAAGAACATCTCCAGGGCTTTAACGAATTCCCAAATCAAAATTTAAATATTTTCAATAGAATATATACTAGCTTTAGAATGCAACTTTTACATTTTTTTTATAAAAGTCAACTGTGAATTCTAAATATATAATGTGAACTGATTCTTATGGATAACTTTTTTGTTGATACTTTAAAATCATACTTTTTCATTTTTGATATTGATTTATTTGTGTTGTGACTTACCGTGATGAATTCATTTTTTAAAGGCTGTTTTAAATATGAAAATTTTATTAGGAAAGAAATATTATATTTTAAAAACTAAAAGTTTTTATTGCAGTAATAAAAGATATAAAGGCTACAATTTCAAAATTCAAAACTCGTTCTTTGCACATTTTACTTTCTTCCCTCTCTCGTAGCAAACCTTAAAATTTAGAACATTACAGGGACTATATAGACGATATTTTAGAACATTACAGGGACTATATAGACGAAATTTTAGAACATTACAGGGACTATATAGACGAAATTTTAGAACATTACAGGGACTATATAGACGAAATTTTAGAACATTACAGGGACTATATAGACAAAATTTTAGAACATTACAGGGACTATGTAGACGAAATTTTAGAACATTAAAGGGACTTTACACTATACAGACAAAATTTTAGAACATTACAGGGACTATATAGACGAAATTTTAGAACATTACAGGGGTTATTTACGCGAAGTTTAAGAACATTACAGGGACTACAGGGTGTCCCAAAAAAAACGATCTTTAAGACATTGTAGCACTCACTATGGTTCAATTTTAAAAAATTTGTACATTTTTGAAATCTTTGGAACATTTCTGATCGATTGAAACCAGTAAGAGGTTCATAGCACTAAATTAAAGGAAGTATTGACCGTTTGAAGTTTGCCATTTTTGCTTGGTTGAAAATCTGTACAAAGTACAAAACTGTATCCTTCAGGTTTAAGTTCCTCCCTTCTGATTGGCCAATATGGGTGATATTTCATATTACTTGCTATCCTTGACCTAGCTGGACTTGCCTAACATCAAAGAGTTACTTCTTGCAGAACTCACAATAAAAGTATTTCTAGCTTCAATGTGTTTGACAGCATCTCTGTTCATTACTGCAGCAACCCTGACAACATTTCTAGGACTTCTGACATGTCGGGATCTTCCACTGGATGTATTTCTAGGACTCGTCTTACTATTCACATTGAGTACTGTCCTTTACTCTATTACCTTTTTATAAATTCTTCTTTCATGACATAAAGCAGGCTGTCTTGCATTTGGAAATTTGCGTCCAAAGTCCATAATAAGACCAGGCATAACCTTTAGTTCATATGACCCTTTCTTTTGTGGTACTCAAAAGCAAGGAATTATTACTTTCCTGTGTTGTAAACTGAGGTCTTGCAATTACTTAACAATAACTGCATTTTTAAGATTTGTTTCAAAGGTTTGCATGTTTTTCAGACCCTAATAAGATTCCATAATATGTTTAAAATTCTAAAAAAAATAATACATGAACTCAACCAAGCCAAAATGACAAACTTTAAACGGTCAATACTTTCTTAATTTTAGTGCTACATACCTCTCATTGATATCAATAGATCGGAAATGTTCCAAAGATTTCAAAAATGTACACTTTTTTTAAAATTGAACCATATTGAGTGCTACAATGTCTTAAAGATCGTTTTTTTTGGGAAACCCTGTATATAGACAAAATTTTAGAACATTACAGGGACCGTACAGACGAAATTTTAGAACATTACAGGGAATGTATATACGAAATTTTTTTAGTTGTGATTTTTTAATAAAAGTGATTTGCAAATTTCTTGCTACAGTAACAGTGGAGAAAATTATGAGAATTAAACACTTTATGCTACAAAATGAGGACATCTTTCACATTAATAATCAAAGCCAGTACCGTTGTGAATTGGAAATGGACATTTTCCAATGGAAAGACACTTGAAATAACAATGTCCACAATGAACGATACACACAAATGATTCCAATAATTCCTGAATCCATTTTTCAATTTTATTTTTTTATATTTTTAATTTTTTCAAGAGTTCAGTTGNATGTACGAAGTACAATGCTACTTAAATTAAGTGGCATGTACGAAGTACAACACTACTTAAATGAAGTGGCATGTACGAAGTGCAACACTACTTATGTGGAGTGGCATGTACGAAGTACAACGCTACTTTAATAGAGTGGCATGTACGAAGTACAACGCCACTTATATGGAGATGGCATGTACGAAGTACAACACTACTTATATGGAGTGGCATTTACGAAGTACAACGCTACTTATATGAAGTGGCATGTACGAAGTACAACGCTACTTATATGGAGTGGCAAGTACGAAGTACAACGCTACTTATATGCACATATGTACACAGTATACAGTAAAATGTGGAGCAACTAGTTTCTAGCTGAATTGACAGCAGTTCTACAGTAAAATGTAGAGCAACTAGTTACTACCTGAATTGACAGCAGTTCTACAGTAAAATGAAGAGCAGAGTTCGGAGGAATTTTACCAGCTTGTCGCTGTCCGTATCCTAACTCTGACGGAACAAAAAGCTCGCGGACCTAAAATATTTACTATAATCAGAAAGACCTGAAAATACGATTTAAATATCTAATTTTAAAAATATGATTAATGAAACGATAATCAAAAAATAGTTCTAATCCGGCCATTTCCAAAATGTGGTCTGACTTTTTTGAGCATTTAGAATTGCCAGAGATATGTATGTAAATTTGACTGATTAACTGTCAATTTATTCCAAGCCTTTCTATTATGATCTTACTATAATGTTGGTTAGGAAATGATCCTGCGTAATGCAAAGACAATATAAAAGTATTCATTTCCTTCTCATGTTTATTGGGACACCCTGCAATTGTAGACGCTATAAAGGCTTTAAGTGTTTTCAGGCCTAGTGTAAACACACTGTAAACATAAAACATAAAGTGCTCATACAGGGTGTCCCACAAAATAATGGCAATGGCATATCAAATATCAAATATATTGCACAAAGAAAAAGTTTTTTCAGGGTAGTGCAATCTACATTTTTTAAAGCTGTGCAGTTTGGTATGCTAACTTTTCCTTCAATTAAATTCTTAGTTAAATATAAGATCACAATGATAAAGCAATATTAAATAAAAATCACGTTGTCCATTATATTGAATTTTGGAATTTTGTTAGGAAATCTAAAGAGAGGAATGGAATAATTGTAAGGAATTAAAGATAGATGAGAGGGATAATTTCCATTATATTGAATTTTTAAATTTTGTAACGAAATGTAAAGATATGAATGGAATAATTGTATGGAATTGAAGGGAGATGAGAGGGATAATTTCCATTATATTGAATTTTGGAATTTTGTTAGGAAATCTAAAGAGATGAATGGAATAATTGTAAGGAATTGAAGGGAGATGAGAGGGATACATAATGAAATAGTTTCTTTATATTCTAGATTTTTTCACACACAGAGATTATCTTGTTGCAGTTAATGTTTATTCCTATATTCATATCCTATAGCGTTGCACAGGTTACTCATAGTTACTACAACTACAATGGAGCAGAGTGTCCCAATAAATACTGGTTTTGTCAAATTTTTACTTTCTATCAAAATTCTCAGAATCAGGAACAGTCATCAGAAGCAAAGGAAAAAAAGAAAAACGAGGAAAAGAAGAAGAATCAAATCAGAATTTTTCTTTATCAACTGTATCCAATTTATAAGATTAAAAATTCAAAAATTATTAATTGTTAAAATAAAGTCTCAAGCTCTCAAGAAAAAATTGAGGAGAATTTTGCCAAAGACTTCTTTGAAACCAAAGCTAACACTAAGTGCTTACATTGCTAAAATGTACATGTAAAGGGCTACAGAACAGCATAAGAAAGTTAGAGCAGTAATATCAAAGCCCAAGGCGTTGCGACACTTCAAAGTCGACCCTGTCTTAAAAATGTATGAGACTTCTTATAAGCAGGCTGTGATCGATCATCAATATAACAAAACAACAATAGCAACCTAACCCTCTGTTGAAATATGTTAACAATACTTTGAACACCAACAACATTTCCCTACTTCAACAATTCCTTCAGTGTTGTTAATCCATTATTTACCTCTCCTTTACACATACCAGGCACTCCTTGTTCATAGCCTTGGATAACCTAGAACAAATGTTTTAATTCAGCAATTCATCAAATAATAATTACGTTAAAAATAATAGTTCAATTATCTTAAAAAAAATCAATTGATCAATTTTGTTAAAAATCAATTGACCAATTGCATTTATAATACATTGATCAATTATGTTAAAAATCAATCGATCAATTATATCTTAAAAACGAATTAATCAAATATGTTGAAAATCTATGGACCAATATAAAAAAAATCATTTGATCACTAATCTTAAAAAACAAATGATCAAATATGTTAAAGATCATTCGGGTAATTATAATAAAAATCTTTTGATCAATTGTGTTAAAAATCAATTGAGTAATTATGTTAAAAATCAATCAATCAATTATGTTAAAAACCAATTGATTAATTTCGTTAAAAATCAATTAATCCATTTTGTAAAAATCAAATAATCAATTATGTTAGAAATTAATTGATCAATGTTGTTCAAAATCAATTGATCAATGTTGTTCAAAATCAATTGATCAATGTTGTTCAAAATCAATTGATCAATGTTTTTAATCAAATAACTAACCTAGTAAATAAGTTAACAATCAAATAATAAATCAGTCAAAAAAATTACAAATAAATCGACGAATGAGGAAAAATCTATAAGTTAAGTAAATTAAGTCAAAAATCAAACTAAATACAGAATTCCCCATTACCAATTAAATGTAAATTAACAATTAAAAAAAAACTTTTAAATATAATTATATATCGAAGGCTGGTGAATTATTGGAAGAAATCATCGTCATTGGAGTACTATTGGAGTACTATTGGAGTACTATTGGAGTACTATTGGAGTACTATTGTAGTACTATTGGAGGACTATTTGAGTACTATTGGAATACTATTGGAGTACTATTGGAGTACTATTGGAGTACTTTTGGAGACCCCGATGGATGAATGTCTTGTTGGAGACCCCAAGATTATGGTCGGAGACACCCAAAGGTTCTTTGGAGAAATTAATTTTTTCATCAGAGATCTCAAGGTTTTCATTGGAGACTCCCATATTTTTACAGGGGTCTCCAATAGTACTTCAATGATGGTGATCCCAGACTCTAAATTAAACGTCCTTTGGGTCAAAAAAAAATAATTGTCACAATTAGTTCGAAATTTGAACCTGGTTCGATCCCAAATTGAAACGAAAGGGAATGCTCCCTTTACTGGTTTCAAACATTTTCCCTTTGTCATCATCAAACCTGCCCTAAACACAGTGAACAGAGCTGAAAACTTTAGAATGAGATATCCTTAATCCCGATTACTTAATCTGAGTATCCAATCGACATACTTTTTATTTTCTTCTTAAACCATTCTTTCTTGGATATAGTAGAGAGAAAAATCAAAAACCGGTTATTTATAATTTAGAAATTCCTTCCCGTTTCTGTATATAATCTTAAATGGGGCGCAAAAATTCAAATTTATCGGCTTTATAAAGCGACTCTGATTGGTTGAATTTTATACACTTTTCAGGATACAAGTACAAGATTAAGTTAGTCTCAATATTAATAAAAAGAGAGGATTATGCATTGATCTCGATATCCACCATTCTAAAGTTTTCAGCTCAGTATATTTTTCTTTTCAGCTTTCATCATCAATATATATGTATTAAGTAAGCTACAAATAATCCTAAAATAAAAAGGTTTTCTTGCGTTAAAACAGAATTTAGATTTTTTTCTAGTAACTTGAATTATTTATAAGAGTAATATACTACTGCAGTTGTCGTCATATATATTCAAAACATACAGTGAAACCCTTAATAACGAATACATCGAAAGAATTTATCAAATGTCGTCTGGACAATTTTTCAATGAGTTTTATACTATATTACGTAAATCTCAGTATTTGCGAAAATAAATAAATAGCCATGAATATGCGAGAACAGTTTTAAAGAGTTCCATATAATCATTTAATTACAAAACTAAATATCTGCAAAATTCCATTATCAGAAAGTGAAGAATACGACATTTGATGAATTCTTTCGATGTATTCGTTATTAAGGGTTTCACTGTACCACGTTTAAAAATATGCAAAAAATATCAAGGTTGCGATGTTTAAAAAATACAACGGGTCTGGGACAAAAAATGAGATATAATTTTGAAGACATAAAATCTTTCAAACATAATTATATGACCCTACGTATGATTCTACTCTGTTGTATAAAATATCATAGAGCTTTGCAGATGATTAAATTGGGGTTTTGCACACAATGATCAAAAAAATAAATGATCCAATGATGAACGTGTTAAGGCACTCGTTCACAATCACAGTGAACAGCATAATTTTTGTAATTGCTGGATTTGCAGTGTTCAAAAATAACAATGTAAAAAAGATATCAAACGTTACCTCATAATGTACTTCAAGCACATCTCCTGGCCTTGCCTGAAAAAAAAAGAAAAAAGTGAACTTAAATATTATAAAAATCCTAACTTCAATACCATTTACAGAATTGTGTGCGGTTAAATAATTAATANTGAGACTTCTATATTTCTTGTTTTTAATCCTTTCTTCTTGATCTTCCATTCCTTGTCCATCCTTCAATCACACTATGGCTAATTTTGAAAATGAAAATAAATGAATTTTTTGGATGTTTTCTGCAGCTAGAAAAAAAAACTTTTATATTATAACAATCCTAGCTATCCTAGCTTCAATACCATTTACAGAATTGTGTGCGGTTACATAATTTTTTACATATTTTGGCGGTTTACGCCGACCGGATACATAAATTTGGCGGTTTATGCTGACCGGATACATATATTTGGCGGTTTATGCCGACCAGATACATATATTTGGCGGTTTATGCCAACCGGATACATATATTTGGCGGTTTATGCCAACCCGACCGGGGTCGAAAATCGACAAACTGTGCGAAAAGATTGTTTTTTTCTAAATCCAGCAATGCAAACAGAAATATCCACAAAATCTTTTGTTTTATGCAATTTGTACAAAGAATAAAATGGTGGCTTAAAAGGCAACATTATAAATCTGAAATTGTTATAAAATGTTCAAACCTGACGAAGACATTTACGAGGAAGCTTGACACATTTGATCTTGAGTCCAGAACCCAGAACAAGCTCCTCTCCCTAAAAGAAGTGTAAGAGGTAAAAAATTCCCAAATAGGAAGTGAGAAGGGGGGGGAGGCAGCAACTCTTTTTAATTACCTTTTCAAAATCGAAGGTCTGCATAATGAAATTATATTGCCTGCTTATCTATGGAAAAAAAGTTTTAAAAAATAATTTGTCTATGCTAATAAAAACCAAGATTAATCAATTGATTAGAATAATGGATTTCCGGTGGAATGCAATCTTTTGTTCAAGCAATACACAAGAGGACTCTCCAATCATGAAACTCGTATAATAGACTATTCTAAGATTAATTAAGCCTTCCGCCTTGAACATAGTATGTTACCTCTTCTAAAGTAGGAGGCTGGTCTAGGTTGTCGTCTTCGCTATTTGACCAATTGTCGTCTTCGTTATCATTTTCATTTATGTCGTTTTTAACAATTTCCGCATTTAGTACTGCAAAACCTAAAATAAGATAAAAATGTAAGGCATAAGTAATATTCAGAATACAAAAGAAAAGAAAGATTCTGATTTTACAGAAATCAAAGGTCGTCTAAAAGTTTTAAAAGGTTACTCACAAAGAATGAGCAGAGGCCGAAACGAAAGACATTATAACCATGGTTAAATCGGATTCTGGCCATGGTAAACTTATCGAAGACGACAGATTTTTCTAACCTAGTTAACTTTAATTTAAGTAAAAATATGATATGTCACAAATGTGAAGCTTTAAAGTTTAGTAAACTGTGATAACTAGAAAACTCTGGAATAGGAAGTCGATTTTTAAACTCAAGTTATGACTCTTAATATTCTAATGAACATGAGACACAGCATTTGTCAGTGTAAACAGACCCATTTCACTTAATAAGTGATTTAATAACTTTTTAGTAAAGCTATTTGCTTTGTAACAACATCAAACACACTTGAGTGTTGTTTTAATGTCGTCTTTCTATTTTACTGTTTTCTGGTAATCACTGTATATTCTACAAAAACATGAAGAGACTTTGTTCTTTTGCTAATCTAATACTTATAGTGTGCTGTGTGAATGATACAGGGTTACCCACAAAGGATGAAACTTTTATTACGACAATAACTATGACGGTCTAAATGCAAAATTTTGGTTTCTACATTTCATATGATTTTATATTTAATGATTTGACAAAGAAAAAAAAAACAAGTTAACAGTTTCCAATGAGCAAAAAGAAAGCAGAGTAAATTCTGCACGGTTGTCTTTTAAGTAACAAACTGTTGTTGACACAAATAAAAGAACAACAGGGATATTCGGTAACTTTATTGAATAATTGCATGGAATGAGAAATAAAAGCAAAGTTTAAAAATATTGGCCCTTATTGGGAGTNAGTAGCAATTTGAACCTGATAAGGAAATGAGAAGAAGTAGCAATTTGAACCTGATAAGGAAATGAGAAGAAGTAGCAATTTGAACCTGATAAGGAAATGAGAAGAAGTAGCAATTTGAACCTGATAAGGAAATGAGAAGAAGTAGCATATCAAAACTGGTTTTCATTCTTGTTAATAGTTCCAGCACTGCATTTGTCAAGAATTCTTGTAAAACTAAAATGAAAATGTTTTCAGATTTAAGAAAGCGCGTTCAACGCTTGAGAGCGTAGTTTACCTGTGCGCAGTGCACGTATTAAATTGCAAGGTAAGTGTTACTCTGACAAGTAATACAAGAATATGTTTTTTAGATTTATTGGAGCGTTGAAATCACTGTATCCTTAAGAAATCCGAAAAAGAGAGTTCTGAGTATTTTAAAAAAGGTTAAGAATCGATTTAGTTTCACATTAATTTGTTAATCTACTACACTAACATTTGAATATGCAATTAGTGTCCGATGTTGTTGTGTTTCAAAAAAAGTATTGGGTTTAAAAGGTAAGTAGTATTGGGTTTTATAGGAAATGAGTTTTTAGTTTTTAAAGGAAAAGAGTATTGGGTTTTATAGGAAATGAGTTTTGGGTTTTAAAGGAAAAGAGTATTGGGTTTTATAGGAAATGAGTTTTGGGTTTTAAAGGAAAAGAGTATTAGGTTTTTAAGGAAAGAAGTATTGGGTTTAAAAGAAAAAGAGTATTGGGTTTTAAAGGAAANTGAGATCTATTCAGTGTACGTGAGATCTATTCAGTGTACGTGAGATCTATTCAGTGTACGTGAGATCTATTCAGTGTACGTGAGATCTATTCAGTGTACGTGAGATATATTCAGTGTACGTGAGATCTATTTTAATGATTGCATTTTTGTTCATATTTTTACTCTTTATATTTGGTATCTTTAGAATTCATTCAGAAGTAAATTAAATAAATTTTATTTCTGTTTTTTTTTCATCCACTTTTGTATTGGCATTAAATGACAGTTCGATAAAGTAGAAGTAAAAAGTTTAAAAATCACAAAACCTCGAATACTCATATTTTAAAAATTTCACAATTAACCCACCAAAACCTCACAAAAAGCTCTGTATAATACTTAAGTCCTGTAAATTCAAAGAAAGATAATACAATGGGACCCAAAAATAAATTAAAGGAACACATTTAAGTAAAACTGTATGTGAAATTAATTTTGTTTAAAGGAAGGTTTAGAAGCTTGAAAATCAACTTAAGTAAGTGAAATTTGTCTATGTACAGTGTACTGCACTGCACAATTACTTATTTACATCTATTTATCAGTCGATCAGTCATATTCCTATTCAACAGTAGACCCAAAGGGGAAATATGAATAGATAAGGAGAATCGATTTTTGAAAGATAAGACTTGTTAAACAGCAAAATTTGTCAACTTACGAGGAATTCTATAAACCTAGATAATCAAGATTTTGTTCAAATTCATGTCACCAAAATAATGTATCTCATGAAATCCAAATAGATTGTAAAGTAAAAGAATCTATTTTTCACCAAAAATATAAAATTGACTTTTTCAAAAAATTTATATTTTAAAGTATTTCATTTTGAAATTTCTCTGAGTCAAGTAAAACGTAAAAATTTAAATTTTTTAAAGTTGCAAAAGACAAAAAAGTAATTGAACCGTGATTTTTAAACAATGATTTTTAATATCAAGGATAAATTCTTTAAAAATTTTATTTGTTGTAGTAGATGATAATATTTAAACACTTAATCCCAATATATGAATTCATTTATCCTTGAAGGGTATAATTACGAATCAGGAATTAAATTCATCCGTAACTAGCTTGGGAACCCAGCTTGGCCTAGAAACTTAACTTTCTCTATGTTATTCATACCACTCAATTTAGACATTTTAAACCAAGCTAAAGAACGTTCCCATCATTCAAATTTTAGGCAAATCAGTCACGGGGTTCATGAGTTATGATCAGACAAACAAACAGAGATTTCCACCTGAATTCAAAAGTTCAGACTTTACGTGAGGGGGATAACGGTTGAAAATATGAATGTTTGCAGATGTTGGAAGAATAGAAATAGTAACGTTTCTTAACATCTTTACTCTTAAAGACAGATGTGGGTTCTGTTGTCAGATATTATAAAATAAATTCAAATCATTTAAGTCAAGTTAAGTAATCGGTAACGTGGACATTGCTTACCTAAGATTGACAAATAAATATTTTTGAAACTATTAACAATTTAAAAAGGAACTGTAAGCGAAGATTCACAACGTAACCCTAGAAACCTTTATCTGATTAACAATGTGGAAGACACCGTCTTAATTTTATCTGTCTCAAAAAGCGTTTATTTTTCTCCATTGCAATGGGCAACTCCCTTTCGCAGAGAAACCACAAGTGAAAATAAATAGTTTAGAGAAACAAAAACATTGATATCTAATTCATGCTTGTTCAGACAAAGCTTTTAAGGGTACCGTTGTGAATCGGGAATTGTCATCTTTGCATGAAGGGTCACTTGAAATTACGCTTCCAGTCCCTTTAAATCAATTTAAATTATCAGTAAGAAAGCGTAAGCTGTAAGGTTTTCGTCTGGGTTTTCAATTTGTTTGTTTATGTTTTGACTACATAAGGGTGTACTTAGTAAAACAAGAAAATTGCAGTATAGAAACAGAGTAAACTTGCAGAGACATTATAGACACATATTTACAGCCATTTGTCGTTTTCATAAAATAAACTCTAGCAGACATAATAATATTATGGTTTTATAAATTAGGTATTACAATGCTAATTCATAATAAAGACGATATCGAATTCGTGACTGAATTCCCATGTTTATTGGGACACCCTGTAGCATAGCTAAGCATGTAAAATAAATAATTTTTAACTATTTACTATTAAAGAAGAAAAACTAGTAAATCTTTTTATTAATTTATCTTGGTAATAAATCAAGGCAAGGCTTTGAAAGTGATCAGTTTCATTTTGGGGTTTAAATAGGTTCCTTCGACATTGAGGCAAACAACTGTATTTCTTGTCTAATACTGAATTTTTTAATTCAATTTTCAATTAAACAAATAAGCATTTCTCATTCATCCTTCATCAAACAATTAGGTTTAAAGAACACCGCTGATTTGGACATTCCACTATACAAGTGGATGTTAGATATTTGAAATTATTTCTTTTAAAAAAAAAAGTAATTTATAAGACAGAATTTGAACCCTTTTATGCCAGGTATACCCCTATTAAAAACTAGAGCAGTTACGAGATGGAAAAATCGCACTGCAGTAGTTCCTCGTGTATTCAAATCTGGGACCAAACACAGAACATTGACAAACAATGTCAGACGAGCCGCTTCAATCCGTCCTACGTTAACTTTGTCCCACGTTTGTCAACGATGTCAGACGAGCCGCTTCAATCCGTCCTACGTTAACTTTGTCCCACGTTTGTCAACGATGTCAGACGAGCCGCTTCAATCCGTCCTACGTTAACTTTGTCCCACGTTTGTCAACGATGTCAGACGAGCCGCTTCAATCCGTCCTACGTTAACTTTGTCCCACGTTTGTCAACGATGTCAGACGAGCCGCTTCAATCCGTCCTACGTTAACTTTGTCCCACGTTTGTCAACGATGTCAGACGAGCCGCTTCAATCCGTCCTACGTTAACTTTGTCCCACGTTTGTCAACGATGTCAGACGAGCCGCTTCAATCCGTCCTACGTTAACTTTGTCCCACGTTTGTCAACGATGTCAGACGAGCCGCTTCAATCCGTCCTACGTTAACTTTGTCCCACGTTTGTCAACGATGTCAGACGAGCCGCTTCAATCCGTCCTACGTTAACTTTGTCCCACGTTTGTCAACGATGTCAGACGAGCCGCTTCAATCCGTCCTACGTTAACTTTGTCCCACGTTTGTCAACGATGTCAGACGAGCCGCTTCAATCCGTCCTACGTTAACTTTGTCCCACGTTTGTCAACGATGTCAGACGAGCCGCTTCAATCCGTCCTACGTTAACTTTGTCCCACGTTTGTCAACGATGTCAGACGAGCCGCTTCAATCCGTCCTACGTTAACTTTGTCCCACGTTTGTCAACGATGTCAGACGAGCCGCTTCAATCCGTCCTACGTTAACTTTGTCCCACGTTTGTCAACGATGTCAGACGAGCCGCTTCAATCCGTCCTACGTTAACTTTGTCCCACGTTTGTCTTTTGTTTTAGTTATTCCTTGCCTATGAATAGAACATAAAATAAGACAAACCTAGGACAGGAAAAATTAGTATAAAAGGACAAACGTAGGACAGGACAAGATTATGACAGGACAAATGTAGGACAATAACAAACATGTCCTGTAGCACGTACCCTGAGTGATACTTTAATTACTGTAATTATGTATATCAAAGCTCTTAAAATCTCTCTTTGCATGCTTTCTTGTATTTGTAATATGTTTTGATTTACTGTATGCTTTCAATTGTAATTGTAATATGTTTTGATTTACTGCATGGTTTCTTGTATTTGTAATATGTTTTGATTTACTGCATGCTTTAAATTTATTTGTAATATGTTTTGATTTACTGCATGCTTTCTTGTATTTGTAATATGTTTTGATTTACTGCATGCTTTCTTATATTTGTAATATGTTTTGGTTTACTGCTTGCTTTCAATTGTATTTGTAATATGTTTTGATTTACTGCATGCTTTCTTGTATTTGAAATATTTTTTGATTTACTGCATGCTTTATTGTATTTGTAATATGTTTTGATTTACTGCATGCTTTCTTGTATTTGTAATATGTTTTGATTTACTGCATGCCTTCTTGTATTTGTAAAATGTTTTGGTTTACTGCATGCTTTCTTGTATTTGTAATATGTTTTGCTTTACTGCATACTTTCTTGTATTTGTAATATGTTTTGGTTTACTGCATGCTTTTTTGTATTTGTAATATGTTTTGATTTACTGCATGCTTTCTTTTATTTGTAATATGTTTTGATTTACTGCATGCTTTTTTGTATTTGTAATTTGAAGTTTCTTAGTTGGTTTTTAGTCTGGGGGAGAGGTCGTTAGAACAGGGGGAATATATCAATGAAAGAGATTGAATAATGGGGGTGGGGCAGGTGTGGTTGATGGGGGGGAGGGGGTGTCATGGTCCAGTGCATGGTCACTTCCTGTTTCCGGGTTGTTAGAAATTAAGGTGGTTCTCCTTTATTCCCGGGAGGGAGATGTGAAGGGGGGGGGATAAAGAAGAGGGGGGGAAGAAAGAAAGGTATTACGTGGCGGGAAACAGGGGGAATTTTTAACGAATATCAGTTCACGTTTTAATCCTTAAAAAGCTTTTTTTATTTCTTATTTTAGTCTATGCAGCATTTGCAAATAAAGGTATAATTATGGGGGATAATCATTATGGATTTAAAGATAGTTTTATTACATGTTGATTTGAGTTAATGTTATTGGTATGCGTAAACCCACTGTTACAAACATAAAGTGCAATAACATACGCTTTGTTTGCGTTTAATGATATATACTATATACTAGTAAATAGATACTTACTCACGCGATCGGGGGAAGGCAGGCGGCCATAAGCCACAACTTTTGCCTGCTTTTCTGTCTTCCGGCAGCCATAAGCCACAACCGTACGGTCTTCCATGACCAATTGTCCCTTCCAGCTACTATTGCGTTCATAAGGAAAAAAATAGTGCATTGATATTGCGATTGTCAAAAAATTCAGTCGCATTACGCGAAAGATGATAGCTTTAAGAAATTTTAGAAGTTTATTAAGGATCAATTAAGTGTGTGTTCTGTTGTTTAACTGCTTTACATTGTGGGTGGGCACCAAGAGTCTAAAGAATAAGAAAAGCTAAGATAAATCGCAATATTAACTGGCGTTACTTGAGCGTTAAAGATTTCCACAAAAAAAAATCTATTTTGCAATTATCTCGTTAAATAGTGCAAAAGTTTAATTATGGGCGCCCTTTGAACTTAAAGAGTAAGTTATGGTGGATCATTTTTATGTTTTATAATGTTTTCAAAAATAAGCCATTTTAGAGGAAAGAATGAACTTATTTTTGGGAGAAAATAGGTTTAGCAGTTTACAATAAAATGAATCATTATTATTTCAATACAAAACTTAAATATTAATATCTGTATATTTTTCCATGACCTGGCTCGTTTTTTGAAAATCGCATTTTCAATGCTCTAACTGTACCATATAAAAACCTAATAATTGCCGGAAGGGTCAAATGTTGTGGCATGGAAGACCGTAAGGTTGTGGCTTATGGCTGCCGGAAAACAAAAAAAGGTAATGTGGCATGGAAGGGAAAAATGTTGTGGCTTATGGCCGCCTGCCTTCTCCCCGCCCCTCACGCAAATAGACGACAGCTACATACAATACAACACAATAATCTGAAGGGGATGAGGGGAGGTTCTTTATTGGGAATGCGTAAAGTTGCGTATACTACATTAACAAATGTTCTCTTTCAATAATAAGTATGTACTTTTGTAATAGCTCAATACTTTAGCGGACTATTTGTACCCCCCCCCCCCCGCCCCACTATGTGGGAAACTTGACACAATATTTGGTCTAAAAAGAGGAGTTTGTAAAAATTATTAACTACGAAAATGGGCGTTCAAGCACATATAAAAAAGTGTGAACTTAAAAATTTGAGCCCCCCCCCCCTTCTCCCAATACCCACCTCATGTACTCATTTGCATTGCATCAGTGGAAACTGTGAATTGAGGTAATTAGAACTTCTTTTTAACAGATGTATTTCTAAAATTGAACCTAAAATTGAACCATTTTAAGGAATTATCTGCGGTTCTAATTAAACTTGCTACCCTCTGTCAGTTCCATGGTAATTGGTGAACTTGTCTACATAAACGCATTCTTGAAACTGAAATTTTATAGTCACCAAAAATTGATGCAGCAATCAATATTTCTGTGACGCAATAACGCAAAGTATTTAAACATTGTGTTTTAATGGTTTATTCATCAACTTTCCAGCTCTAAAAGCGTTCTATTTGATTCTGTATTAATCTGAATTTTGATAATTAATAAAGAGTTGACTCAAAAATCTATATTTCTGTGACGCAATGACGCAAATAATGGAATCAGTGTGCTTTGATGGTTTATTCATTAATTTTTCAGCTTTAAAGCTTTCTGTTTGCTCTTGAAATGCTAAATTTTGATGATCGCCAAAAACTTGTCACAGCAATTAATACGTCTGTTACGCAATGACGCAATTTATAAAATAGAGCGTTCAAATGTGCGTCTTGTAAGAATATTCTTTTTATTACTTAAAAGTTTAATTTCGGTCATCAACAAGAACTGGCCCAGAAATCGATATTTGTGTGACGCACGTACTGACGCAGTGTGAGGTAAAAATGATAGATGTTTCCGCACCGGGTTGTTTACAAATATAATCAATATTCATTCAAGCACTCTCTTTGTTCAAGCCAATATAAAGAGAACTGATAGATAGATAAACATAAGATTTATTGACTGGTAAATACAGGGTGTCTCTCTTAGCATAAACATTGAGGGACGAGGAAAGAAAAAAGTCAAAGTTCAAAAATTTTCATTGCAACACCTAGGGTTAGATTATGTATAAGATACCACCTCGCTGGATTGCACTTGTACTTTCAGACTCAAATCCACAGAAACAACTATTGTCATGTCATTTTATTACAAATAGTTTAAAATCAACTAAATATATTTTCAAAACTAAATATAAATATTCACACGGTTTAAATAGATCACAAATATGTTTAGTTATATCACTGACAATCTACAGTTGCATCTATATATTTGTATTCTCTAATTTGTAAATTTATTTTACAAATGCTTGTTTATGATAAATTGCAAGCTTTTTGGGATTTTAAATATTTGAGATAAAAAATAGGCATCAGAAAATTCGTCATAATTCCGATCGTTTGTAAGCGTTGAATAGAATAATGAAAACAAATCTGATAAATTATTACAAAAAAAGATTATTTATATTAATTAAGTAATTTTTTATGCCTTAAATAATGGATTGCAGGTTCTTATTATAACTTTACAATTACACCAATACATATTACAAACATGACTAACAGTCCAGTCCAGTCCAGTCCAGTCCAGTCCAGTCCAGTCCAGTCCAGTCCAGTCCAGTCCAGTCCAGTCCAGTCAATCTATGTATCTATGCAGTATGCACTATGCATCCATCTATCCTTCTATGTATCCACTATCCATGTATCAATATATCTATGTTTATGCATATATATATTTATCTATTATTCTATTTATTTTGTTATCAATCTATCAATCTGTACCCACTCACATCGAACTACCTGAGTAGTACGTTGAACAAGCCATTATTTTTTTGAATAAATTAAATCTTTATTTGGGAGAATTTTTGCGAGTCACCCTAATTGTATCTTATGTCTTATCTATACCTGTATCTGTTCCTCCCACTCTGGATTATCAAGTTGACCATCTCCTTGAACCATCTCGTATTCTAGTTCTCCATCTAGTTCACCTTCTAGCTCAGCTTCCCATTCAGAGTCATCCTAGGTTGGAAACTTATAATTGCGGTTCAATTCATGACAGATTTAACTGCTGAGGTCGGAAATAATGTATAGTGAGAAGTCGTTAAACTTGTTGCTAATGAATCACCTATCCAGTGTGTCCACTACAGTGGTAACCAGGAAATGTAGAATAGGAATACTACATTAAACCAAAACTAATGTGCATTTGATGTTGTTACAAAGCAAATCAAATCACTTATTAAGTGAAATGGGCCTGTTTACACAGCACAATTGCTATGTCTCATGCTCATTGGATTATAACTTAAATTTAAAAGTCAACTTCCCATTCCAGAATTTTCTGGTTATCACTGTAGTCATGCCTAGTTCAAGTATTTATTAATACCAAGCTCAGATTGTTTAACTACTGGTTCAGTTTAAAACAGTATTGACACAACCATTATTAAATTCTGCAAATATTGCTAAATCAATGCTTCAAGCACCAATAGGAAGCAAGAAAATAGTTAAAATCTTTTACAAGTAATAAGATTACTAAATTCGGAACCAGTGATTAAACCAGCTCAAACCAGTTTACCTCGTAAGGCCTAATTTACTATTTAAAGTTTTGATTATATTCTACTTCTTCTCAAAATTTCACTTTTCGAGTTAAACTACAGGTATAATACAAATAATTGCAAACTAGAGAAAAAAATGATATGTAATGTGCATGGTTGAGGCCCTGGGGAGGGGGGGAGGGGTGAACAACAGGGGGTATTGAAAAAAAGTACCTTTCCCAGTCCAAGTTTCTTCATTGCCTCATCAGCCTCTGCAAGATCCTTAGAGGATACTTGATGAGAATCAGAAACAAATTCATCATCATGTTCAGGATTAGATGGTCCTTCAGTATCATCTTCAACTGGTTTAGACCTTTCTTCGCCTGCTTTCACATCCTGATCATTTCAAAGGTTTACAAAAAAAAATAACTGTGTTTGACTAAATTAAATTAATGAATAAGAGCTAACCTTCAAATATTTTGAAGATTTTTAAGGGGGGGTAAATGCAAAATTTTACATTACATACTTATAAATTATTTATCTCCCCCCATTCAATGAACAAATGCAAAAAAATTGTGCTCAATGCAAATGTTAAAAATTCAGGATAACAAAAAAAAATTTGAGAGCGGAGCAGAAAAAAATGATTTTTCAATGTGTTCTGAACCACAAATACCTGGTTAATGTTTGTCATGTTATTAAGCTCAAATGATTGTTTGATAACTCCAACTCTATAGAAATAATTTCTCCAGAACTCTTCCTCCTGCACAGCACACAAAAATAGTAACAAAACAAAGACAAAAATAGGCTAGTTTGAAAATGTCTTGAAATTTTTATTACATTTAGCAAGAATATAAATGGTCCAAAAAAACACAAAAAGATTAAAAATATCATTTTTATTACTATATCCTAATTAAGAACCATAAATAAAATTTGATTATTATTTTTTAAAATTTTTTGTTGTTGATATTTTTCAATTTTGTTAAAATTATAGATTGTGAATAAGTAAATCATAATTATAGATTGGTAATGCAGCAAATATTGAAAAAAAGTCCTCAAATATAAAAATTATAAATTTGTTCACCAAATTTATTATGCACTACGCATGTTTGTGTTCCTTGATTTTTTTGGGGACAAGTTCATATCTAATTTTTTCTAATCTTACATCCTCCTACACAAATTCTTATTCAGGCAAAATGTTGACGACAAGTTACTTAGTTGTTATTTGGAAAGTCACAATTTTGCTAATAAAATATCTGCTTTCTGGTCTATCAGGAGGCACTTTTCCTGTAAATTTAAAAGTAATACAAATAAGAAAAATGTCGTTGATTTTCCTGTTGTCAGTACCAGATTTACAAACTTGGTCAAATTTATGTTAAGGCAAATCTTTTGAATGCTGACCAGCCATAAACTTTCCTGTCATGTAAGCTACCATAAAAATGAATAAAAATATTCCTTAAGTAGAACCAATGCGTGGGCGGATACACCAGCGCTCTCCATATCAAACTCTACTCCACTGGGCGGTGCTCTGAACAGGAAAAAAGCATATTAATTATTGAAAAGCAAAGATTATATGTTTGAATTATTTCATTATAACTTGCAGTATCCCTTAATGAGGGATTATTAAGTATTTCCTAATCTCTGCAATGCTCATCGCCTTGGCATAAAAATAAGCAAAAAAATGTGTATTTGTTTAAAAATCAGTAAATCGTGAAGAAATGTTCATGTCCTGGAACCTAAGCACTGCTTAGTTATAATTAAAAATAGCAATGATATAGATTTGGAAGTTTTTTTTTTGCCTAGGGTGAAACAAATGTCAGCTGTTTTGCCATCTTCAACTTCAACTTAATTTTCTTTTACAAAATCTGTATTTAATATTAATTGGTGCAATTGCAAAGCCTACCTCAGAAAATTTCTCTGGTCTAGTGACAAAGCTAGAATCTTCTCTTTAAGTTCATCTTCATTCTAAAACATCCTTTTTTGTAAAAATATTTTAACAACATTTTTATAAAACTACATTGAAACTGCAATTTGATCCCCATCCTAATCTTCCAAAAAAAGGGCTCTGCCATCAGGACAGGGGAGGGAAAAAAAGATACTTTTAACCAAATTTAATTTTAAAGAAATAAAAAAGATATGGCCCTATCAATTTAAAAATTAACCATATATGGTCAAAACTTTTGTACTTTAAAATCTATTGATAACACCCCAAGCTTAATGTGCCATTAAAAGGTTATACACTATTTATGTCAAGTTTATAAAGTTTTAGCCTCTATTAAGTTTACCTGATAGCCTGACCATGGTGCAGTAGGCATATCTTTATCTCCCTAAAAATAACAAAAAAAGATTTTAGAACTGTACGTTTCAAATAAGTATATATATACAATAGACATTATTCAATTAGTCCAGTGGTATATAGTTTTAATACGAGTACTGAGTAAAGGGAAAAAATTGTAAATTTGAACTTTGATATGCAGTTTTTGTTTACTCTAAGATACATTGAGATTTTCCCCTTAAACTCATATATTTTCCACTAAAACTCATCTCATTTCCACTAGAACTAATTTATTTCCCCCTTAAACTAATCTAATTTCCACTAGAACTCATTAAATTTCCACTAGAACTCATCTATTTCCCCCATTAAACTCATCTAATTTCCACTAGAACTCATCTATTTCCCCCTTAAACTCATCTAATTTCCACTAGAACTCATTTATTTCCCCCCTTAAACTCATCTCATCTATTTATCCCCTCAAATTCGTCTATTTTCACTAAACTCATCTATTTACCCTTGATAGGAATGATTTTTATAAAGAAAAGTACCTTTGATTTGATAAAGTTCTCCTGCTCCTGGTTAAAGTCAGAAAGCATTGGAGCTTTAGAAACAGTGTCCTGGAGCACCTTAGTGTAGCTTGAGGCAGCCTTTCCAACCTTCAGAGATATTATCAGTTAAACAAGCAATCAATCAAACATCAAATAAACAATCAATTTGAATTTTGTTCCAATACTTTTTCGAAAGCTAATGACAATTATTTTAAAAAAATTCGAAAATTCGAAAATCAACAGATGTGTCTGTGAATAAACATTGTGTTGTGATCAGTCTGCACTTTAAAGTACAGTGCAGTACAGTAAATATTGGCTAAAATTATTTAAAAATATTTTTAATGGTTCACTTTTTTTCTTCAAGTTCTGGAACTTATTAAACCATAAAAATTGAACCAATTTTCTGTGATGATTATTTTATGGATGTTTTGAGGGGATTGGGGTTGAGGGATGCATGATACACCGAGAAGGCAGATTTTCTTCCTGTGAATGGGATTGGGTCCCAGTGCTGGATTACGCATTCATTCCACCCTCCCCCCTCCTTAATTTCTTTGTTAGAGTTGCTGTTTACTTTGAGCCCAAGATCTTTCTTAAAATCAAATATATTAGTTACTTTCTGTTTATGTTATGAATCCCTATCTGTCTCCATGCCCAACCTTCGATTGATGCTGCACTGATTTTCTCTTTGGTTCTTTTTGTGTATGTGGTTTTTTTAAAATGCTATAATTCAATTAAAGAATTTGGTCAACAGGCGGGCTCAGCTAAAACAGCCCCAGGCTATTGAGTCTGCCTGCTGCAGAAAATAATATTTTACATATTGTGGTTTTTAAAAATTAATTCTTAAATATTGTTTTTTTTTCTGCAGAAATAAATGATTTGATTTTCAAGAGTTGATTTGATATTATTCAAATATCAATTTTATTTTAATGAAATGAAATCAAATTGAATGTATTTTGAATGAATAAGATTATTTTCTCTAAACTTTTAATGTTCATGTAATTTCTAACCTTAGAGAATGCATTAGAGAAGAAATCAGTTTCTTCTTCTTTCTCTTTGTCCTCGGTCTTCTCTTTCTCTTCTTCTATCTTCTCAAAAGAGCTGGATCCAGTTAAACCAGATAATCCAATTTTACTAAACAATTAATGATAATAAAAAATTTAACTTTTGCAAGTTATTTACCCTATTCATGACCATTCTCCTTGCCTGGAAAATAAATACCCCGGGACATAATTTCATGAATAAACATTATCAATTTCTATGATGGAACCTTTAAAGATCAGGGTGAGCATATCAGATTTGAAAACAAATGTCTTTAGGTTTTACATTTGACATTTAAAACTTTTTTGTTTTGTTTATTCCAGGTTACAAATATACTCATTTTCATGCTAAATCAAGTAGTAAAGGTTACAGTGACCGTGGGATCTAATGTCATGCCAGAATCTTTCTTCATAAAACGCCCTTAGCCAAGATTTTTTTGACAGAAAACAATTATACCTCTGAATATACAATATAAAATAGTTTGAAATTCTTCCATTAAAACACAAAAATTAGTTAAAACTATAAAAGATCCATATAAATTTTTATTTATGTGAATCCATATCCTGGATCCACCCTGAAAAAAAATGTATCCAGATCCAGGTCATAAACATTTCTTAATGATTAATTTTTATTTTTTTTCCCTTACTTCTTTTTCGCTTTTTTTGCTAAAATAAGCACAAATTGAGTTTCAGCATAAGAAACAATTCAGAGATAATGCTTATTAGTTAAATTCAGAGATTTAATGCTTATTAGTTGACAGTTGAGATTTGCATTTTAAGAGAAAAAGTAAATTTTTAACTAAATTTGGCTGGTACTTTGCACCTTCATTAAAATAATAAAATTGTAAATTTGGCTGGTACTTTGCCCCTTCATTAAAATTGTAAATTTGGCTGGTACTTTGCCCCTTCATTAAAATAATAAAATTTGGCTGGTACTTTGCCCCTTCATTAAAATAATAAAATTTGGCTGGTACTTTGCCCCTTCATTAAAATAATAAATTTTGACTGGTACTTTGCCCCTTTATTAAAATAATAAAATTTGGCTGGTACTTCGCCCCTTCATTAAAATATTAAATTTTGGCTGGTACTTTGCCCCCTTCATTAAAATAATAAAATTTGGCTGGTACTTTGCCCCTTCATTAAAATAATAAATTTTGGCTGGTACTTTGCCCCTTCATTAAAATAATAAAATTTGGCTGGTACTTTGCCCCTTCATTAAAATAATAAAATTTGGCTGGTACTTTGCCCCTTCATTAAAATAATAAAATTTGGCTGGTACTTTGCCCCTTCCTTAAAATAATAAAATTGGCTTTTTTCTGTTTGCAAATACCAAGTACTAGAACTTGAAAACACCTGAATGCAGAGCTGAGGTATCCAAGTCCTCCAGAGTTTCCATCCTTCACCTTCCCATCCTCCTTCACCTTCCCTTCATCATTCACCTTCTCCTCTTCTCCTTCCTTCACTTCTCCCTCTGATTTAGAACCCACACCAACTTTTCCTAAAACACAAGCAAACATTTGATCTTGTTGTTAATGGTATTAAAGGGACTGAAAGCGTAATTTCAAGTGGCTCTCCTTGCAAAGATGGCAATGCCTGATTCACAGCGGCACCCTTAAACCCTTTTTCGTATCTAAAAGAGGTAAAAATGTTAATTTTTCTAGAAAAATAAGCATTTAATTCAAATAATTTCTATATGTTTTCCTACAATAGAAATACGCAAGTCGAGTAGAAAATCCACATTTTAAAAATAAATAATTCGAAATTATAAAATTTGATATCTTGTTACTTGGAAAGCCAAAGCTTTTAAGGGTATCGTTGTGAATTGGGAATTGTCATCTTTGCATATGGAGCAAATTGAAATAATGCTTAGAAAAAAAATTGCTCTAATATTTAAAAATGTGTTTTAAAATCAAAATTTTTTTGCAAAAAAACTAAAATATAAACCAAATTGTGTGGCTTTACTAATAGATAACCACAAAAGGTCAACGTAAATTTCAGAAATTTGAAGAACATCATGTTTTTTTGCAAATTAGTGAAGTTCAAAAAGTGTGAAAGCAGTTTATAACTGGAGTAATAATTTCAAATCCTATTTATTTTGCCAGCAATTCAGAGACCTTGACTGACAATCCAAAGACAAGATGGACAATTCATCGACAAAGATTGCCTAATTAAGTGACAATAGATTACCATGCATTAAAACAAATTGCCACAACAGTGACCAAGATTTAGTAATGTTAATTGGTACTTAATGTTAATTCAACACCTATTGGTAAGATGAAACTATCTTCAAGATTAAAAGAAAGAAAAAGCAACCAATTACTCTCCTTATATTATGACATGTACTGTACAACATTGGCTTAACCTGGGGGGGGGGGGGGCATCAGTCTCCACACCTTTTTTTGAGGTCGTTAAAGTCTCCTCCATTATTGATATATATTTACGTTTATATGTGACCTAATGTGTTAAAGAAAGCTGAAGAGAAGGTGGATGAGCTGTTCCCTTTCTCCTCCTTCTCCTTGCTGCTGCTACCCTGGCTGCTCTCCTCCTTGGTGGACTCTTGCTTTGAGCTGCTCGAGTACCAAGAGGAAGCCTGGAAGAAGCTTCCAACATAGTTAGAAGCAGCGTTCATTTTCTCACCAAGCTCTTAAAAACATAGATAATGACGATTTAAAATACTAGATTTAAGTGCGATGATGGAAGATGTATTTTACAGTAAGAACTAGAAAACTTAGACCCAAATGTCGTCTTGGATCTAATTTCTACTTTTATGTGGCTACTTAAGGATTTTGTAATAAATGAAGACGACAATAATTTTACCATTTTCTTGATTTTACTGTACTTTGCATCTTTCATGAATTTTTTCTTTAATTGATAAATATTTACGACACAAAAAACTTGCAAATTCAAGTAAATTTCCCCCCCCCCTTCCATTTTTTTATTTATGAAAATTAACACCATTATTAAAAAGTTGAAGAATGAGTCTACCTGCCATAGTATGTTTATTATCCAGGGGTAGATCCTCAGTAGTAGAACCAGTATCTAACTCAGGTCCACTGCTAGTGGGGGAGCTAGCTTCAGTCTAAATATCACAAAAAAATTGGCAATCAATGGGACTGTAAGCGTAATTACAAGTGACCCCCCATGCAAACATAGCAATGCCCGTTTTACAATGTGGGAAATAACGTCGTTTTTTCTGACTCGATAAGTATTAATTTCTGTAAATTTTAATAAACATAAAATGGGAATCTAATAAATACTTTATCAGACAAAGCTTTTAACGGTACCGTTGTAAATCGGTCATTGCCATCTTCTCATGGAGGGTCACTTGAACTTACGCTTACAGTCCCTTTAACAGTAAACACTGTTTTGAAACTAAAGGCATATTTACAAAATAACGTTTACATCTTTTACGTTTTGTCGAGAAACCACAATAGAAGCCATAAGTTAAGAGTTAAGTTAAGAGTGAAATTAAGAGTGAAATTAAGAGTGAAGTTAAGAGTGAAGTTAAGAGTGAAGTTAAGAGTGAAGTTAAGAGTTTAAGAGTGAAATTAAGAGTTAAGTTAAGAGTGAAGTTAAGAGTGAAGTTAAGAGTGAAGTTAAGAGTGAAGTTAAGAGTGAAGTTAAGAGTGAAGTTAAGAGTGAAGTTAAGAGTGAAGTTAAGAGTG